TGCTCCAGACACCTGCAACATGCATGGATCCCTCTTCAGGGTGGAGGTGAGAAGCCCACCATTTGCTGACTGACCCTCTCAGGTAGGTGCAAACCTTCGATCCTATGGAGGTAAGCAGAGCTGTGTCAGAGTGGTACACATTTCATGCATGTGGGGCCCTTTTCAACATGCAAAACGGACACAGAAGTCCATTTCATCAATGCCTCAGGCCTACGTGTTACCCTCTGCTTAGCAATGGGCACTGTGTGTCCACACTCAGAACGACTATCTCAGGCTCATTTAGGGCCATTACAACACACTCTGTGGTCAGTGTCCTCTCCTGTCCAGACAACCTCATGTTGCAGTTCAGACTGGCTAGGTGGTTCTTACTGCTCCAAGTATATAAAGCCTTAGACAAGAAGAATGTGAACACACTTCCCCTTTGCAAACTTCTATGGTATCTGTGAGCCAATCCAAGGCCAGTGCAAGAACAGATCCCACGTCTTGAATCTCTCAGACAGCTCCAGACACTTACATCATGTGTTAAGAGAAAAGTTCCATCACATCCTGACAACCTGAAGTGTTTGCCAGGGTGTCAAACTTTGGAAAAGCCTTTCCCTATCTGGACTATATCACACCTTTGTGTTGAGCCACAGTCCATGTCTACTGGGCCAGAGCAGCTCATTTTTGCACCATATCAGGCTCTTGTCAAGCAATTACAAGATGGAGGTAGACAGTGGCATCTTCTTACAATGTGACTGAACTGCAAAGAACATGGGGAGCCTGTGTCATGCACATGTGAGCAGGGCCAACCCCTGAAATGACCAGACAGACTGGGGCATTTGTGAGCACCTCAGCCACATGGATGGGATGAGCAGCTCTCCATGTCCTACCAATCAGGGCATGTGCGGAACTCCACAACAGGAGACCACAACCAAGGTGAGTCCATCTCTGTTGTATATGGAGTCTTGTCACCCCATTGACAGAACAGTAATGCTGCTACCTTTTCTTACCATCTTAGAATTGTGGACACCCTCTAAAGTGTGGTGGTGACCAGAGCCATGTCCTGTGGTGATGATCACACACATGAGGAGGCCTCCACAATGATGTAAACAGAGTCGCCAATTTCCTGAATCCCCCATGCATGTATAAAACTGTCTGCAAGGTGAGTACATGCAACACATCCAAGATACCCCCAGATGCACACACATACATCCACACGCACACACAGGCTCACCATCTCAGGCAGCTGCATAGCCCTGTACAAACCCAGAGGTGAGCTGCACCCTCCTGTGTCCTGACAAACTAGTGCAAATGTGTCATGAGGTGAGCATAGCTGGTAAGTCCTGCTGACCTTATCTGTGTGCTGAACCAGAGCTCTTGCTTTTCTCCCACATGCGCAACCCAGGGTTCGAAGGAGGATGCAGCCTGGGGATTTCATGATATTACCACTGAAGCCACCTGAGGAAATCTCTAAATTGACCACATGAGCAGCATCACCCCATGACTCATGACCCTCCTCACCACTTCTGAATATGGTAGAGCACTGTACTCCTGTAATGCCCAACTCAGCCAAGTGTGGGGCCTTTAGAATCAGGCTGTGGGCAGAAACCCTGGGAGCTGATCTCCTCCAGTGCATGAGGACACCTGGGAAAATGTGGATGTGACCAGAATCTCTCTGCATGTCCCAAATTCTGGGGTGCTAGTCACACTCTGTATGATATACATGTGAGTGATGTACATGCCCACATAGGTGAATGAACCCAGGCATAAAGTGCAGCCCTAAACAATGAGGATGTGAGGAGGGCACTGGCACCCCTTGTCCTGATCATCTGTGGCCCATGTGATGCCCGGTACACTGTGGATGAGAGTGGAGCCCCATCCAGTCCCTGTTGAAACAGGGATTTATTTATAACAAGCCTCCACAATTTCCTCATTGTCAGTTACCCACACTCTCTGCACCATCTCAGGTGACTGGAATCCTGCCCAATGTGTATTTCATGCATGTGGAGTCCTATATGTGATTTTTAGTAGGATCCACTATGTCTTCATGTTGGTGGTATCTGCAGAGCCTTCCACAACATGGATATGAGCAGAGGTCCTGACCTTTATCACATGGATGTAGATCCCCTACAATACAGAAGTGAGCAGAGCTCCACCCAAACCCACTATCTAAAGTACACAAGAGAACCCTGTGCAGTGTGGCTATGAGCCAAGATCCTCAGTGATTATCCCTCAGTCATGGGTGGAGCCATTTTCCAGGAGGATGTGGACAGAGTCCCAGACTCTCCTGGGCCTGTCAATTGTGTGTGGAAGCTTCTGCAAGACAGATCATGGCAGAGCACTCCACGTCTTGCCTGTCAATACTGGGTCCTGAAAGTACCACCTAAACCAAGGAAATGAAGTGCAAACAGCGAACAACTTCTGTGAAGGAAATTTAGCTAATATCACAGTCTAAGCTCTGCCTGCTTTACTCCCTTTGCAGAACAAGTTGTCTTTGTATCTTTCTATATCGTTGCAGCCAAATAAAGGATCATCTGGACAGGGAACTCAGGACCATTGTGAGATCAGCTTTCCAGTCACACACTTAACACACTGCAAAGCTGAGAAAAGGTCCAAGATTTTGACACTTGAGCTGAAATGTAGAACCCTGTGTGTAAGACTGTTTCACTCACTGACTCGTTTCACAACCAAACTTTCAGGATTGAAGTAGGCTCATGGCACAGCCTGAATTTGGAAGGTGAACTGAATACAGCCCTCAATGAACTATCAACCTTCATGGCCAGAGCAGGACTGATGGGCTGCTGCTCAGGACACAGTCAAACCTCCTGATTTCAGCAAACGCCTCTTGGTGACATCTTCTGAGAAGATTCCATAGTGCAGCCTACATAGCTGTATGGCAAATAAGCTGTTTACCAAACCCTCAGCATGGAATACAAGCCTAGTTATGGCCCAGAGATAATCTGGATGTGCCAGCCAGAGCTCAGCTCAGGACAACAGGAAAGCACTGAGGCTTGGGTGTCTTTCAGTTTTCCCCAGAAAAATCTGCCTGAGACTGAGGACATCAAGCACTTGAAAATGCTTCCATGTCAGTGGTTAGAGAAATGTTTGGCTTATGTCCCTTCCTTTATTGCCCACTCAAGCACAGATCCCAAAGTATCTCTGCAAAGTGGAGGTCAACACTATAATGCTGGGTTCCACTCACCAAAACACAACCACCGTGGGATAGCAGGCACACAGTGACACCCTGGAACTCACTATGAGGGTGACCCCTAGATCTTCCCACCAGCACAACTCTCATTCATTCTGATTTCACAGCTGTGCTTCTTAGCTCTTCCTGGGGGACACACTGGTTCAGAAGCTCATTAAAGCACTGACAAGACAAATGGCATCTGTGTATCCTATGGCCATTTGTACTACGTTCCACTGGCTACCAAATGCAGACAAAAATAGGGTAAAGCTATCTGCTCAAGGTGACTCACTGGGGGAAAGCTCCTGGCTTAATCCTAAAGCTGCAACTCCAGAGTGCTGCCCACTACATGGGGCACCTCAAATATTTGCCCTGAAGCACTTGGGAAACTAGGAAGGCAAATCCTTGCTACTCAGAAAAGAAGGGCAGGCTCAGTACTCCAGCTGTTATTCAAAAGTTCATGTAAACCTTTAAAGCTTCACAAGCATTCTGGTACAAATTTCCTATGCTAAATATGATTATTATATATCTGAAATGTACTAATAAATGTAAGTATGAAAGGAAAAAATAAAAATAAAGGACTATTCTCCATAGTATCAAATTTTAAAATGTACCCAGGCTTCCTCTGCCCTCGGGCCTGCTGCAGCCAGTGGCCTCCTAGGCCCCTGGGAGCAGTTACACTGGTCCACATCAGGAGCCTCACCCATCTCCAGATCTTGCCACTGACAACTGTTAGGAAAGAGGACCAAATGCCTTTATTAAAGATGCTCTAATTCCATACAGCTGTTGCCACCTTTCCATGAGAGGAGAAAACAAAACCACTAACAGGTGCTCGTAAGTATGAGGAGAACTGATAGAACGGGTGTGTATTTGCAGACATCAGCTTGGCACAACATGTGTCCCTTCAGGCACTGTAGGAACAACTGGGACATCTCAGAGGGTCCACCCCACCAAAGGTATGCAACCTACCCGGGGCTGTGCAGCACCACACAGCAGTTTGTGAGCAGGCTCCCCATGCCACGGTGAGACCCCTACAAAGGTTCAGATGGAAAATCAGGCAGTGAAGATCCAGGGAGTGGCCTTGACCTTGAAGAGACACATTCTTGCACAAGCACAGAAATTTCTGGTTTTAAAGATAACAGGACTTATTTCCTCAATTGTGGCTAAGAAGCAGATTTCTATGTTCCTAACTTAAACTCTTCTGAGCTATCTCAATGTCTTTTTAAATTTTTATTTAAAAGGGGGTAAAATTAAACACAACAAAACGGAACAAAATAGGACATAAGAAAGCAATGTGAGAGATATAAATTTCAAAGCTAGATGACCTGAGATCTTCACTATCTATCATATTGTCTCTTGTTTTCTTCCAAATAGTTGTCCATGTCTTCCCATACAGAGAATTCATACAAAACAACATAGTATAAAACTGATCTGAACAGAATGAGGAAGGCATTTTAGGTCTTCAAAACCAGACAATAGGGAAGTCACTAATGGCTGTCGTAGACTTCCGTTCAAAATAGCTGTCCATACTTTCATGTATATTGATGTTCAACAAAACATTACAGACAAGGGGGAAGGCATTGCTTGGTTTCCCAGCACTTCAGGTTCTGCCAGTGGCACAGGTCCCAGTAAATGCTGGTGGCTCCTGTCTTGGGCTGCCGGATCCTGCTGTGCTCATAACTGCTCATGGTACTGGTGGTGGTGGGTTGCCTGGTTTCCCAGCACTCCAGGTCCCAGAATGACCTGGGTTCTACTAAAGGATGGTGGCTCCACCCCAGGACTATGGAGTAGGCCATGCTCACAACTGCTCATGGGGTGAGGGTGGGGGAGGGGCTGCTTCTTTCTAATCAATTGACCACCTCACTGCTCAGGTTCTGAAATGGCCAACAGACCATAGAAAGACTAAATTGCTTTAGGCTCCAGCTTGAAACCAACAGCGTCAGGAAACTGCCTGCCTTGATTCAGGGCCAGTATCTCAATGTCTTAATCAACTGCTTAAGGAAAAACAGCAAGTGATTAGAACCTCTCAGCAGAAAGCTCAGCTCCCACATTAAGAGTCTCCAGCTCAATGTGAGGATGGAAAAAGCAACATGAGGTCATGTGTAGGCACCTCCATTAATGGTGTCACCTGAGATGGTATGAGCTGGGAGGCATGGTGCATATCTGTAATCCCAGCACTCAAGAGGCTGAGACAGGATGACTCTATGGTCCTATGGCTGGTATACCTGACAAATAAACATTCAAGTTATACAATGTGATGATTTTGTATGCATGTACCTTGTAAAGTGAGTTCCACATCAAGTGAATGAACACATACATCACCATTCAATGGTTACCACTAGAGTGTATGGGCACTTAAGAGATACAAGCACTTTGGTCCACAGGGCTCTAAAGCCCACCTGGACGCCAGAGGCCTCCAGCTTTCTCCATATCAGGCTTCTGCTCAGCCCCCTAAAATACCCACGTGTACAGCTATACCTACATGCCTCACACATGCACACACCATCTCACTCCTCACCACACAGCTCCTGATCATCCTCCACAAAGCTCTTTTTCCTTCACTGAATCCCAGCTACACTGAGTTTCTTATAGATGGTGCCCAGGAATCTGTTTTAGCCAAAAAACGTCCATAGCCTGGATGCTATGGATACCAAGGTTCTGACTCCCTTTACCTGCATCACCTCTCTGTACTCAATCCCTGTCTTAGTTTTTCTCTATGGCATGAATCATCTGCTGTGTGATCTTGTTATCCATCTTCCTCTTTAAAACGCAAGCTCACTGCATCCAAGTTGGGTCTCCTATTTTGTTCACTGCTAATAGAACAATGCGCTCACACAAGAGGAACCCAAGGAATGTTTATGAATGAATAAAAGAATGAATGAAGGAAAATACAGAGCATTCTTACCATAGAAGTAAGCACTGAAAACACACAGCAGGTAATCAGGGTTCCTAGTCCAATGTGCAATTACAGAGTAAGACAGAGTCAAGAGCTTGACTGAGGACAGTGGCTGTGGGTAGCTAGAGCTTAGGTTTCCAGAGGTCCTCTGCATGACCTGCCATGCGTGTTTCACCAGGATTCTAACCCTCCTCAGTGCCGTCCCCAGGAAACCCCTCATACCACATGGTGAAGTTTTGGCTCTTGGGTTCCGATCACTGGGTCAACAACACCAGTAGCCTACGTGAAATTATCTCAGGCCTCACACCTTTTGCAAGTGCTGGCATGGGCTGCCTCCCATTACCAATGCCTTCCTCCATCTTGCTGCTGACCAGTGGCAATGCTAGGCTGAACCATGGCCGTAATTGGTCTTTGTGCTAGATTGTGGGGTCATCTCTTGGTGCCATAAGTTTCTGGGGACGCCTCTGTTTGCCAGGGCAACATGGTCACAGGCTGATTATGTGAGTGTGGCTGCTGGCATCCAGCTGGTATCTAATTACTGAAAAAAAGGATGCAAAAAGGGCAGATGTTAAAAAAAATAACACAGAAATTAGAGACTGTTACAATAGTCCTTGTCACCTTTTAAAGCATCAACAGCATTACAGAGTTCACAGACACACAGAGGCAGTGAAGATCTGTCTGCCAGGGCTCCAGTTCAGGACCTGAGTTTGTCTCCTCCAGGTAAGGAAGGGCTATGGGGCAGCCCAAGGTCACTGACTGTGACAGCAGTGCATGAGCAAAGGACAACCCTTTGTTTCATCTTCAGCACTTACATATCACAATGTAGTTGGGTTGGTGGCACTAGCCTGTAATGCTAGCTACTCTGGAGGGTGAAGCAGTAGGATGGCAAGTTCAAGCCTTGCCTGGGCAGTTTACTGAGATCTTGTCTCATAGTAACAATGATAAGACAAATAAATTAATTAAAAGGTACAAGATCTAGGAATGATAGGCCCAAGGGCTAGGAATGTAGCTCATGCTGGCATGTATGAGGCCTTGACTTCAACCCTCAGCACTGGAAAAGGAAAGAATTCTTGGCTCCTTCCTCAGATAAAAAAGAAAGAAAAGAGAGAAAATCAAGGTGTGGTGTATGGCCTAACAGTGGTGCTTTAGTGGTAAAATATCATGAAGCTATAATCACAAGAAAAGCAAGCCTAGGACATCACCCTCACATTTAGGGCCATTTTCATTCAGGGATTTGTGGGTTCTGAAAGAAGCAGCTGAGAATTTGAAATCCTGCACAGAGATTGTGACTAGTTTGGGGGTCAATGGACAGGAGAATGGGGCCCCATCCTTTGATTCATAGGAAAGACGGATTAAGGGGATGTAATTTAAACTGGAAGTAGACCACCCTGGAGGAACTTCATGCAGTTCAGTCCAGGATCTGAAATTACATTTATATAAGTCAGAATTTATTGTGGTACCAAAGCCAGGTGAGTGAAGAAAAGGAAGATTCTAGGAGATATTACAGGCCTCAAATTATTATTGATTATGGATTACGCCCAGGAGGGATAGAAATTAGCTGTGTATGTAAGAAGGCAACAATTTTTTGTGAGATAAAGATCTCACTGTATGGTCCATACTGGCTGTGATATCAGTATGTAGGGCAGTCTGGCTTCCAACTTAAAATCTGCCTGCCTCAGCCTCTCAAGTGCTAAGAATACAGGTTCGTGCAGCACACTTGGTGAAGACAATACTACAAAAATTCAGAAAAAAACATTTTTCATTGCACAGTGCATGGATGACATATCCACCCCTTCTGAAACATTGCTTTAGTGGGTCATGAGGGGTAGCTTCAGTCACTTGCCAATATAAGGTCCAATTCTCAGGGTCTCAGTGTCTGTAGGTCCAGTGGCACATGGCTCTCCTTACATAGCCTGTGATTTTGCACAGTAGGAAGGCTAGCTTCACTCCACAACCTGAGGGCTCTTGTATCTCTCTTGCACACTGGTTTTTCTGAAAGCAGGGCAGCCAGCATTACAGATATGACCTGCTGCAGAACTTTCTCTTGTGTGCATCTGACTCAGAACTCAAAATCAGCTAGATGTGGTGGTGCATAACCATAAATCCAAGATGAAGCAGGAGATGGCAAGTTCAAACCAGTGTGGGAAACTTCACAAGAACTGTCTGCTGGAAGTGCATGTCAGTGCCCACATGGGTTCAGTCTCCAATATTGAACCCATTCAACCAATCAGATGTTTTAGCATCCCAATAAATTGTAATGTATTGGTGTATAGGAGGTCATGTATAATGGTCATGTGTAAGATGACATAGGTGACCAGCAAATTCAAAGGCACTAACCAAGGGAAGCAAAGCTCCTCTATATGGTAAAAGACTGTGCACCATGATGCATTTCTGCATCACAAAGAAAAGCAAAGCTTAGCAACCCAGAGCACTGTTACCCATCCCTTGGGACAGTGGATGACGCTCAGCTCTATGCCTCGGCCTGTCTGTCTGTCACATGTCTAGGCTAGAGCTGTGGATATATCTGGAGCCTCGTCTGTGACCATCCAAATAGGATGACACAATGACACAACCCCTTGGTCATTCAGGTACAAGAAGGATTCATTCCACTATGGGCACTGACTGAAGGCTCCAGTCCCCACTTCCAGGTTACCAAGGGCCTCTCCATAGGGCAGTTTGGGACATGACAGGTGGTGTTCCAGTGACTGAGGATGAAGAGGTACACACAAGACACAAGTACATCCTCTTTTAACCTTCTCTCTCAAGTGACTTCCCATTATTTCTTCTGTGTCCTGTTCACAATCTCAGCTCATTCAGGAAGGGAGGTCACTTAGATGTGGGTATCACCAGAGGCTACAGGAGAGGCTGCCCACCTCCAAGGTGCAAGGTGTGACAACATGGCCCCAGGACACAAGGTAGAGGTTCTCTCATGCCCATATCACTGAACACAGAATGTTTCACTCTTGGGCTGAACACTTAAGCTCAGGGGTTCAGAGCCTCCTCCTGACACACCCATGTCCTGCCAGGACACCCCAGAGCCTTGCCACCTGCTTTGTACCACGTACAATTGGCATGACAACACTGAATGTCAAGACAGCTGGTGTCCACTTAGACACTGCCCATGTACATACTGTCCATCACGTCACTGTAGGCCCTCATGCACTTCACTTCTCCACACTCCTTCCCACCCCCTCCTGATTTTTCTCCATGGTACTCACCACCTTATGTGGGATCTTACTGATTTGTTTGTCTTCTTTAGCAGACTTCTTCAAACTCACTAGATCAGAACTGGCCTCTTATTTATTCGCTGCTATTAAAACAATTTCCAAATACAAAAAAATCCAAAGAAAATTTCTAGAAAGAACAATCAAATAGACAGAATGGAATGATGAAAGGGAAATGCAAGTTGTGCTGACAGGACAAACGGGAGCACCAAAAACCCTCCGCAGCTAGAGTGCTCTTGGGTTCCATTCCCCTTCTTTTTTTGAATTTTTAAAATTTTTTTATTTTTTTATTTAAAGGGGAAAAAAACCCCCCAAACAATATAAGGATACAAGGAATATAGAATTTAAAAAAAAAACAGTAAGAAACCACTAGTTCATAGATTACATATTGTCATCTTAGAAATAATTAAGTTACAGGATTAAAGCATACAAAGTGCACATTCAAACAGTGAGACTGCAAACAGTTGTGTTCAGTGATCCAACAAAAACGCAGCAATATGGTCATCTATCTTAACACACCCAAACACACTTGCAGTTGTATGCTTTAGAGTACTTTCTCCTTCCTGTCTTTTTTACAGCAAAAGCGCCACAGAGCGTTCGCGCACCCACGAGGAGCCGGCACAGCCCATTGCACGCGCAGCGCTGCCCACATTTGCGGGTTCCACAACCGCCTCCACTCTACACCCGCGTGCCCAGTACTGGTCAAGGTCCAGGCACCTACAGGCACGCAAAGGCACTGGACTAGCAGTAGAAACAGGCCAGGAGCTTCAGGTTCCCATCATTCCCGCCTTCAGACAACCGGCGCATCCCATTGGGCCAGAACTGTTCCTTGTATCCTCCAACTGACCAATGGAATGCAGCCACCCCACAGAGACTGAGCCAAACTGTCAGGAGCCAGTGGGAAAGCCGCCGGTTTCCCGGGCAACGCGTCCTGTGGCAGATGCTGGCCAGAACTCAAGGGAGAAGCTCCACTCTGGCCAAGGAGAGGCTGGGCTGTAGCTGTTGGCGTCCTGCTGTTACTGACTTTTTCAACAAGGGTACAAAGACTGATGATTCAAAAAAAAAAAACAGTAGGGATTGTTATGGAAGCGCTGGTCACCACTTAAACAGCCACAGTCTTAAGACCTTGACCAGCACGGATAGTCAAGCTGTGTCTGCCAGGGCTGCAGCTCAGGTGAGAGGTGGCTTGGAGATCTGGGAGGGGAATGGAGTGGCCTGCTACCATCAGGCTAAGGTCAGCTCAGGTGCCAAAACCAATGCTCTGGTTAGTCCTTCAGTTGTTAGTAATAATAATGTTATCTGACACAGTGATACAGGCCTGTTAATGGTAGCTACTACAGAGTCTGTGGCAAAAAGATTGTGATTTGGTGCCCAGTCAGGACAAGTTAGTGAGATCTTGTTTCAAAATAATAAAAATAAATAGAAAATTAAAGAGTTACGGTTGTAGCTCTGCAGTGGAGCACTTACTTTCTTGGCATGTTCTGAGCTCCATCCCCAGCATCCAAAAAATTAATTCTGGGCTGGTTCGCCTATGGGACACAAAGTTAAAAAAAAAGAGATGAGGACTAAAATCTGGTTTATAGCATGAGAGTGAGTGATACTGTAGTAGTAAAATATGCCAATGTCAACAACCAGCAGAAAAAGGAAACTGAGGAATGTTAGTGCAACATTTAGGGCCATTTTCACTCAGGATCAGGGCTCTGGAAGAGGCACTGAGAAGGTGAAATCCCAGACAGGGACTCTGACAGGTCTGTGGTTCCAGAAACTGGAGAAAGGGCTCTCATCTTTGGGTTGGAATTGGGAAAATCTCCAGAGAAGTGGGGAACTGAAAGCAGTAATAGGCTAACCCCTGGGGGATTTATTCCACTTCAGCTGAAGTTTTGAAACTGTTTTTTGGTCTCACGTTTTATTACTGATCCCACTAGATAGTTGAGAGACAAAAGGGAAATTCAAGAATGTGATATTGCGTGCCTCAAATTATAACTGCTTATGGATTATGTCCAGCACACCATAGAAATTCACTGTGTACACAAAAAGAAAATACCTTTTACTTTTTTGTTTTCATTTGTTTGAATCTAAAGTTTTGCTGTGTAGTCCAGTCTGGCCTTGATCTCAAGGCCCTTGAGCCCTTGAGGACTGAGATTACAAGTATGTGCCACCACACCTGGTGATTGGAACACTGTCAAAAATCATTTTCTTGTATACTACGTTCATAACCTACCCACTCATACCAGAAACTGTGGCTTCCTGGGTCACAAGGGTCAGTATTAGTCACTTGTCAATGTGAGGTCCGATGGTCAGCATCTCAGTCTCGGCAGGGCTAGTGGTATAATGGGTTATTTATAAGGGGTAGAAACCTGATACTGCTTGGTTGCTGCTTGGACTCTGGGGGAGCCAGACAATAAATTGTCCATTTTCCTGAGGTCAACTGTTCTTGTCTTAGAATTAAAACATATATCAGATGTCACCTTTTCTTGAGAAATCTTGACTTTGTATTAGGACACCTTATAATACCATTTGGGTAGAAAATTGAGTCTTGATGGAATTTACTACTGCTAAGTGCTGAAAATTATTTTAATCTTATGTTGCTGTCTGAAAGTTCTTTAAGGGGATGAGATAAATTTGGGTTATTCAAGTTTGATAAAACTTGCAATACAGAAAATCCTTCATTGATTTTCATGTCTATGTGTAGAGTTTTAAGGTAATAGGAGAGACAAAAATACCGAGTTTACTAGTCTCGGAAAGTATCTTTCCTTTTCTATCATGCTTCATGTGGTTGCATCCAAAGGACAAGGAAGGGTGCTGTGATAACAGGACACCCACACGTGAAAGAAGTAATTGGAATCCTTGCTCTTACCATATACAAAAATTCACACAAAGTACAACAAATATCCACAGGTAGTACCGAAAACTGCGAAACTCTTGGAAAAAAATATAAGGGTAAATCTTCACAACATTGATTTTTGCAGTGGTTGTTTTTAGGTGATGTGTAGTAAAAGAAGAAATACATAAAAAGGATTCACCAAAATTTAAAACTGTTGTACTTGGAAAGATAGTGGAAGAGTGCTTTCCTGGCAGGGGATCAATTACCAGCACTATCAACATAATTCTTTTTAACATTTGCACATCAGAATTCACCTTCAAAGACAGGAAAAGTCAGCACTCTGACAGGAGAAAATACTTGATAATAATTTATGTGAGAAGGTTCTTTATGAGTAACATGCCCTAACTGATTGTGCCACTGGAGATCCATAAGAAGGTTCTGATATCCAGGATATAAGAAGCAATCAGTTCCACAATTTCCTTGGGCAGTTCCTAGGCCCATATGCCACCTATAAATTAATTGAGTGAAAGAAGACTTCATAATGTTGAGAACACCAAGAGCTTGGAGCATCTTTCCACATGAGGGGATATGTTGTAAAATGTGCAGTAGATCTATCATAAGGTTCATTTTGCTTTTGATTTTTGAGAAGGAAAAAGTATTTGTAATTATTACATTTATCTCACGTTTCTACAACTGCACTTTGTCAGTCCTCTGAATAAACTGAGTTTTGCCAAAGAGCAGCTAGACACCTGAAACAATAGGAAAAAAACAACCAATAACAGGCTTCAGAAAGCAATTAAGATATTTAAAGTATATGTTTCTTTTTTATTTTATTTGGAAGGTAGTAAAATACAGTAAGACTGAACAAAGCCGGTCAAAACAGTGCACTAAAATTGGCACAGAACTTCAGAGCAGGTTACTGGGACAACAGTAATAGGTTCCGTAGTATGTCTTGTTAACTTCACAGTAGTTGTCCATTCAATCAAGTATAGTAAGATCAAACCAGAAACACAATATTATAAGAGTGATCAAAACATAATATTGAATAGAGCAAGACAATGGATCAAAACAAAGCAACAGTGAAAACAATAGTTGCCTTCAAAGGGAAGATATATGGAAATCCCTCATATTTGTTATATTGCATCCAGTTATCCTCCCAAGAGATGCTCAGACCTCTGGCCTCAGGTCAGCATAATCAACTCAACAATACAAGCATTTAGTTGCTCTATATCGCTTAGTTGCTACCAACACTGGCTCTCCTAGACACCTTCTAGTTGCTAAATGGCAGGGGGCATACATTTCTATTAATTATCCCAAATCTTTCTTTTGGCCATATAACAAGTAGTTTTATACAAATGACATCATCCTACTTATTGTTATCATGGTGAGACAATGCTTCTATAAGCAAATGGAATGTTTGGTTTGGTTGGTTTTTTGTGGTACTGAGGAATAACCCAAGGGTCTTCTCATTGACTAATACTGTGTCCTGGTTTTATAATTTTATTTGGAGACCAGATGTTGCTAAGTCACTAAATTGTGCAGGGTAGGATCATGTTTTGATCCTACCATGCCTCAGCCTCCCAGAAGATTGGGATTGTAGACATTTCCCACCACAGAAGTTTTCAATCCTATTTCCTACTCCTCTGTTCAAACACAGTTCATTGCTTCTTTTAGTATTAGGAAGTTAAAAAGCAGAAATAACCCTGCCCTGAACTTAGAATTTAAATTATTAAACATCATTAGATGTAATAATTCTGTCATTCTTCTGAGAGGTGTTTTGTTGTCTATTGTTTTGAGTTTGAAATTGAGAACTGACCCTAGGTTCTTGGGCATGTGAGGCAACTCCTGTGCTACTGATCTGCACACCCATCACACTAAAGGGTGTTTATGTAGGAATTCCAGCACCGCTCATCAAGGCTGACTGTTGCAGAATACTCCTGAGCAGCTCCAAACATGTCTGGCCCTCACTTCAAATCAAAGTGGTTCTCATGCTCATGGCAAAACTTCAAGTGATAGAGTTACTGAACTTGGTGTAGTTCCTGCAAATTTCCCCCAAAAGCTCCAATATAACTGTTCCTTATCTTACATTTCACTAGATGATGGTGCATCTTATGTGGCCAGAATCAAAGCTCATCCTCACTTTGACAATGCTGTAGAGCATCACGCGTGAACAAGCTTGGGAACCACTGCTTCAGACAAGACGTCCCGGGCTTACTAACCTCAGTTTGACCCAGGTATGTGACACTGCAATGTAGAAGACAATACATGAGTTCTGCAGAACAAAGATCAAAACCTTCATGCCAGGCTGTTTTCCCTAGGCAAAGCTAAGGCAATGCAGGGTTTCTGAGCTGTCAGCTTAGTGACAGCCCAGCACTATACAAGTGACTCCACAATCAGCACAAACGTTGCCCCAGCTCCTGGTCACACAATGCAGTTACTACAATTTATAACCTTTCCACCTTGCTGCTATGGGAACATTAAGCATCCTAATGATTCATGTGCTCTAGGCAGTGTTATCAGAAATGAGAAAGAGGAGCCCTACCTTCTCAAAATATAATCTAGTTTTTTCTAGGATTCACCATAGCAAAACTATCTAAAAACCTAGCTCCATGCCAGACCTAGTGTCATACCTTAGAATCCCAGCTACTCAGGAGTCTCAGACAGGATGATTATGAGTTTGATCTCAACCTGCTCAACACAGCAAGTTCATGTCTCTTAAAAATAGGTAACAGAAGCGCATGTGTGACAAGCACAATGGTGTGAATTCAATCCCCGTTACAAAAGAAAAAAAAAAGAAAAGAAACTAATAGGAAAACATGCCTCAATTTTTAGCTCAATCCGAGAGCAATAATGTACACAAACACTAGTATTAAAGATGGGGCATGAGAAAATGCTTTTAGTATACTTCAGAAAGGAGTCTCTAGACTCAAAAGTAAACACCTGGCATGCTATTGGTATAACATCCTAAAAATACAATTTTAAAACGTAGTTTTGCATCATTTAGTACAGGAAATTCTACCACTAGGTTATTCTATGACCTCATACTATAGCGTAGGAAAAAGCCCTTAAGCATGTCAGGTGTGTGGAAAGTCTTGTAAAACCAGGAGGTGACCAGAGTCTCCCATATTCTAAGGATCTAGGGCAGGAATAGACATTTGTACAACGGCCTGACTAAATCTCAGACACTAGTGGAGTCCTGGATAATAGGATGGTGAGCAGTTCTCCCATACCCTCATGCGCAGTGCAGACACATGGGACCCTCAAAACGATGGGAATTTTTCAGCCACTTGTGTTAAGACTCCCCCCACCATGATCTGACATATTCAGCTACTTGTAGAAGTAAGGAGATGAACATGGTCTTCTCATTACCATCTCAACAGTGTGCAGGCCACTAAAGTAAGTACCTCAACAGAGGGACCCCAGTCCTGATGTACCCCCAAGGAGCCACATATAGGTTGTGGCCACTGAAATTTGAGGATAGGAGCCAAATGAAGAGAGAAGACTCACATAATGATTTGGAAAAGATGGTCATAAGTTTGTCATAAAAGCACTGTTGCGGGATTTAAGATGTTGGAGACCCCAGTAGGGAAAACAAGAGGACTTTGTGTTAATTATACAGTGGCTCTACTGATCAAAGTGCCTGAGGAAAGGACAGAGGACAGGTCCCAGGTTTTACACATTTGGTCAAGAGAATCATGGTCTTGTGCATGGAACTTGTAGACAGGCAGAAGAACAAAGGCAGTTTCTCAAGATGTGACACGTTTATTTCTTGGTGGTCCTGCTCAGACATAACAGGACTTTATGGGAAAAAGAATTTATAAAATTAGACATACAGGGACACAATTTACTGTTTTATTTCCCCCATGGATGGTTTCTCTCGATGAGTTTTAACAGAAAGCATCACCATAATTACTATTTAATTTGGTAGTGGGGGCTAGGTTCCCCATTGGGCTAATGGAGAACTATAAGAAAGAGGAAAAGAACTCACGTGGTGGTTGTAACTGCATGACAATCCTCATGTTTTTCCTGTGCCACAACTCGTCAGGCAGGGTTGTGGATCCTCAAAGATCTGCGGTGGGTATATTAGTCAGCTTCCGGTATGACTAAAGCAAGGCTGTCATCACTGGTGATGGTCACTCTCCCACAGGATCCACAAGTGTGGTCATTCTGGATCCTGTTGGCTGGTCCATTTGTCTTGTGATGTTGGTTTCAGCCAGCTGCAGTGTCCAAGACACAAATGATGCAACTTTAACAGTAGTGTGTATAGATGAGATTACAGTGTGGGGACGAGGCTATATGGCACAAGGGTGGTAGGATTTAATTTTTTGACTCAGAGTCTCTCGATTTAAAGAGGTAAATTGGGTGTGTGCAAGTTATAAGCCTGTTTTGCTCTACCCAGCCATGGATAATCTTCATAGTAATTGCCACACTTGCTTTTGTCTCTTAGAGTTAATTTTTATAGTTTGTGGAGATAACTTATAATTTGACTTATAATTGGGATGGCCAGACAAATAAGATTTTATAAAGGAATGTGTGATGGTTTTGTAAAGTTAAATCAGACATGGAGGAGAGTTCAGGGCAGGACTTCACCCTGTCCCTAGGGTGTTTCTTAACAATGGTTTTTTCAATATTGTTTTAGCATCTGCCTCACACATTCTAACTTTCAGAGCTGTGAGGCTGGGAAGTTGTATGCAATTTGTATTTTATTTTCTGTATTTTATTTTTAAAATCTGTGTGAGCTCTTGAACTGTCTCAGCCGTGAATTCTGGCCCAGTGTCTTATCCCATATATAGGGCCAGTTCAAATCTTAGGATGACAGCCTTTACCACTACCATTATCAGTTTTAGTGCCTTTTCTGTCTGAGTTGGAGGCTTTGGCCTATTAGCGTCAACATACATTTAATACCGTCCCCCTTAGGGCAGTTCAGTGAGGTTCACAAGGAAGTTTTCACACTGGGTGGCACCATCTTGAATACCCAGGACCTGTCTATCCCTTATTTTTCAGTGTTTTGTGCACAGGTTACACAAGCAATGTAACAGCTCCAGTCACTGGAGTGAGCCATGTCACACAAATGTGATGATTCAGTGATGTGCCTCATGTGATTTTCTGCATGTGAGTCACCCTTCAGAAACCTTGGGGCTATCATTTGGGGTATAGCCTGTCTCTTATCAGAGAGTCTCCACATCCTTGCTTGACCAAAGTCTCATGTTCCTGGGTGAACTGTTTCTTTTTAAGTGAAGTATAACTTGAGTTCTCTTGGAGTGGGGCTTCTGGGGTGAGGGGTAGTGTGGGGACCCCATTTTTGCATTTTGAAGCCACCATAACAACCCATTTTGCTTCCCTGTGTGCTTTTTGGTTTTCTTAGGCCTCCATCATACCAGCCTGTGGATGTCCCCTGCATGGTACAACAGCTAGTTCTATGGGCGTTCACATAGCATTGAGGAGCTATAAAGTTTTCTCTTTTGTACCTTTTTTCTTCAGCAGTGAGGATCCCTCCGTCTTGTATATAATCCCATGAACATGAAGCATAGCAAAGGCAGACCTGAAATCAGTATAGATGTTAACCTTCTGGTCCTTAGCTAACCACACAGCCGGTTGGCTATTAATTCAGGCCTCTTTGTAGTGGTTCTATTAGGCAAAGGACCACTACCACAGACTCCAAATGTCACCAACATAAAGCCTATTCTTTGTTCCTCTTCCAATGCAAAACTGTTTTCATCTGTAAAATATCCAACATCTGTGTCTCTCAGAAGGCGATTTGTAAAATCTCCATGGCTTGAGATTACCTCATTCACAATTTATACCATCAAGAAGGAAGGCTTTTGGTTGGATAGGAAACAACGTGGCTAGGTTAATTGTGTTTCTTTTCTCTAGATTGATGTCGAAATTTTCACATAATAGCTCTAAGTGTGAGCTCTATGTGGGTTTGTGAATGAATTGTGGTTGTGTAGGCGATTGCTGAGATGTGGGCAAGGTGTTTGGGATAAGGGAGAGATGGTGAGAGAGACGTGGCTGTTGTGCAGTTAATTTGACCCATGTGTTTGCAAAGGTATCTTCCTGAGACATAGAGTCTAATGATATTTGGTGTCCCCTATAGTAAGTGATTGTTACCTGTTTTGGAAATTTTGTTGTCTCAAGCAGTTTGACAAGAGAGATGCATTAGGGATGGGGGTCCTTTGTGTATGTTTTTTTTTTTTTTGGTACCAGGGATTGAACTCACGACCTTATGTTTGCCAAGCAGGGACTTACGTCACAGAGCTAAATCCTGGGCCACAGTCCTTTTTGTATTAATTAGATTTTTTTCTGGCAAGTGGTATGATAGTAAAGGATATTAAATGTTTATCTGGAATCAGTATACATTTTTATGATTGTGTAATTATGTGAGGGCCCATGTGAAGGCAATTAGTTTTCCTTTTTGTGAAGATGTTTTAGGCGGCAGTGGGCCAATCTACAGGAAATAGGTCCTGTCTGGGGAGGTCATGTACATTGGACAATGGTTACATTACCTTAGAATCATTGATTATAGCATGTTTTGTTGTCTTTTGAGTGTTTCTGTTGGTTATTTTGGCATCTATGAATTTGGTATCAGAAGCTGTAGGGAGAGGAGTACTGTCAGTGTGAAGGAAGGGAGTAGGAGTCATCTGTGGGACCTCAACATAATTGTGGACAGGGCATCACATCAGCCATGGGAAGGCAGGTGGCTGGGTTGGGGTAGCTGCTGGCAGAGATGGTGATTGTAGGATTTTGTATGAGTATTAAGTCAACTTGCTGACGTGTCTGTGTGAAATAAAGTCATGGTGTAACGGGGTGACTGCATCATAACTGATTGTTACAGGGTGAACTTTTTGGCCTCTTGCATTAGTGTGGCTGCTGAGGCACGTGCTCAAAGGCAGCCAGGTCAGCTCTGTGCTGTGTTATCCAATTGTATTGAGAGGTAGGATACTGCTTGGAAAGAAGGGCTTGTTTGTGTGTATGTATGTGTTGGTGTGTGTTTTTTAAAACTCCTACAGCATTATGATCTTGAGAGGTGGAAAGCTTGGCTGGGTCAGGGAGAGTAGGGGCTGGGGCCTTTCAAAGGGCCTCTTTTAGTTTAGAATGTGAGGAGTGTATAGGAGTAGCAGGTTGAGAGGCTTTGACAGGGAATGTTTAGATGTCTTCCAGAGAGGTTGAGCTACTGTAGCAAAATTAGGAACTCAGAAATCAAAGAAGATTTTTAAACCTAAAAAGGAAAAGGTTGTTGTTTTGTAATTGGTACCTGGAGAGCATGGATACAGGCTTTGTGGTTTGAGTTTATAAAGTGAGTGATGGGGGTGAAAGGGAGACCCAAGAATTTAAACTGTGGTGTAATTATTTGGGCTTTACTGGGGACACCCTGTATTTGTGACTTGAGAGAAAGTTGAGAAGGGTAGGTATGTGTTGTATAGTCAGAGCACAGGATGGAGAACAGAGGAGAAACTATCTGTATATTGGAGATGATTGTTAGGTTTAAGAGTAAGACCTGTGTGGTCAACAGCAATGCCTTGGCTGAAGAAGTGTCGGTTGTCCCTGAAGCCTTGTGGTAGGACTGTCTAGGGAAGCTGTGTAGACTGCCATGTTTGGATTCGTCCATGTAAAGGCAATCATAGTGTAAGGGAATAGTGAAAAAGTATCTTTAAGGTCTAATACAAGAAGTGAGAGGTACATGGAAGAATAGGAGACAGCGCAGTGTAAGGCTTTGGAAGCACTGGGTGAATTGGTGTTACCGCACTGTGAATAGCTCTGGAATCCTAAACTAGATGACAGGGGTTGTTGGATTTGAAGACAGGGAGAACAGAGCTGTCATAAGGTGAGTGAGGAATTTTCAGAGGCCCATTACTTAAACAGCAAAGTATAGGTTGGAGCCCCCATTGATGTTTACGGGCTAGTGGGTATTGGGGAACAGAAGGGAAGACTGAGACTGTTTGAGGTGAATTAGCAGTGGAGTAACGTGGGTGGCATCAGTGATATTGGAGGTGACTCAGACTGCAGGGTGGAAGAGGAAGGAGGAAAGCACAAGGGCTGAGTCAGTGGCACATGACAGTTGGGGTTGGAATAGGAGAGCCACGGGGAGACAGAGAGAGAAAGAGACTATAAGAGAAATTGAGTTTTTTTTTTAATCAAAAGAAGGGTATAGGACAGGATGAGATAATAAGACAGTTGTATCTAAAGAAAAGGTTTGGAATCTGCAGGCAGTAGGTCCTGTCTGGGGACGTCATGGACATTGGCCATCAACTCCCACAAAAGAGAGTGCAGACAGGGAACATCAGCCTGAAAACTCCGGAAGAACACTATGAGTGGCCTCCATGTCAACAAAGAACTAGGGGGTTTTACCTGAGATGTCCAGTGAGAATCAGGGCTCTAAGACAGATGCCTTGGTGAGGGTCGTGGGTCCCGAGCCCCATCATTCCTCGTCAGTGGTCTTGCCAATCATATCAGCTGGTGATGAGTCCAAGGTGACAGTGCCCTCTCCTGTGAGGGCAGGGAAGGTGATGATTTCCTCGCTGTCTGGAGGCAGGACAGTTGCACTTCCAGAGGCCCTCTTGGTTGCAGATAGGACTGGTTCCCAGTTGTGGCTGCAGGGCAGGGCAGGCTCATGTCCAGTGTCATTTTTCAACTGCACTTGAAGCATGGTGGTAGGGGTGGGCTGGAGTTTTTTCTCTAGCCTGTGTCTTATCTTAAGCTCTGGGTGCTGCTGCTACTGTAGCTGCTGCTGCAATTGCCAGGAATGTGCCATGGAGTTTAGCTTGGAAGGCAGCCTTTTTAAGGTTGTCCTGGAATGTAACTTTTTTGAGGCTGTTTTGTTTTTGCTGTGTTTTCCTCCTGTTGAAGACATGAAAAGGCATATCTAAGAGTTCTCCCCAGAGAGATCAAGGTATGACTTTTTGAATTTAGTATGAGTGTCTGGTTGTGGTTGGGAAATAAAATAGGATTGCAATTGTTTGTTGAGGGGACAAGTGGAAGTAAGAATAACACAAAGATCTTTGTAGCTAGGATTCAATAATGAAGTTAAGCCTTTTTATATAATTGAATGGGTCAGCAACCAAGGATTTTACATAGTGGAAGATATGTGAGAGATCAAATAGGGAAAAGGGGACATGAACGGAGACTAAGCCTTGGGTTCCTGTCATCTCACAAAGGGGAAGGAGACTTTGGGGTGAGCATCATGTGAAAGGTGGCTGGGGTAGGGATACTGCAGACAGCATGTGGAAGGTTGCCAGGTGGCAGTGAGTGTGAGGGGCCTGGAGACCTGGCGAGAGGGAGGAGTGTGATCCGGAGGTGGAGGCAATGGGGACAGTGGAGTGGAGGAGAAGCAGGAAGCAGGGTGTGTTGGGGGGAGAGAAGACAGCAATGGAGCAGAAGTGGGGGAGGCAGGAGGTGACAGTGAAGATGGCGGCAGAGCAGAACAAAGGGCGCTTTGTGGGTGTGGTGGAGGAGGGAGAGCAGAGGTGAGAGCTGTCTGTAAGGTCAGCAGGACTGTCAGGAAAGGGTTTTCACAGTGTGGAGCAGGTCAAAAGCATTTGTGCTGCCCCACATGCCTGAATGAGGAAGGGGGCTGCCCTGAGAGCAAAAAAGTTCTGAAGATAAGGAGCCCAACCACTTACTTGCCTTATGATAGCAAACGTGTGTAAATCACAGGCCTATGAGCCCTGTCCCCCTTAGCTGTCTGAGAGTCTTCTGCATCACTCTTTGGATACAATCAGGTAAGTGGATGCCTCAGCTCTGTGGAGGATGGCAGAGAATGTGATGTTGCATCCATGTTCTGCATGTGTGCGGCCAGTCATTTAGAAGCCTTGCATCAAGGACCCAGGGCCCAACGAACTCAACTGTGTATGGTCCTCAGAAAAGAGAACATGGAAGAACATCCATCACCTCTGTCCTCCAACTGCCTGGACTTCTTGCCACTAGAAACATGTATGCGAACCAGAACCTAACCCCATGTCCTGGTAACCTCAGGCCTATGTTCAATTCTGAATGATAGGATGTAAACAGAGCTCCTGATGTCCATGTCATGATCATCAAGGCTGTACATAGAGCCCTATACAACTTGACTGTAAGCAGAGTGCCCCACATAAGGCACCATGTCCCAACTCACACAGGAGTGCATGGAGCCCTCCCCAAGTGAATGTGGGCAGAGCCCGGCCCTTGTCTTAAACACCATGGATGTGCACTCAGCCCTAAAGTGAATGTGAGCAGAGCCTTTCACTATCCTGAAAAACTCAGGCATGTATGTTGCCCTCTAAGATGTGACTGTGAGCAGAACATCCCTTGTGTCCTGATGATCTCAGGCACCGGAGGAGCCTCGAAGACTGTGGATGTGGATATAGCTCTTCCATGCAACAACAATTCCACGGAAGTGTGGCCCCGCTACAAAGCAGAAGGCAAGCAGAGCCTCATGCTCGACATCAGCATCACACATGGAACCCTCTACAGGGTGGGGGTGAGTACAGGCACACCATTTGCTGATCAACTTTCTCAGGTAGGTGGAAACCTTCAGCCACACAAAAGTGAGCTCAGCACCGTAGAGGGGTGCTCATCTTGTACATGTGGAGCCCTTTTCAACATGCAAAACACACACAGCGGCCCATCCCATCAATGCCTCAGGGCTGTGTGGAACTCTAACAGGAATGGGCACTGTGTGCCCACACACACAATGACCATCTCAGGCTCCTGTGGAGCCCTGTAGAACTCTGTGGGCAATGCCCTCTCCTGATCCGACAATCTGAGGCATGGGTGGAGCCAGCCAGGTGGTGATCACCTCTCCAAGTAACATCAAGAACCTTAGACAAGGAGGAAGTGAACACACTTCCCCATGCAAACTTCTACTGGAAATGTGAGCCCTCTCCAAGGTAAGTGCAAGCACAGGCCTCACAACTGTGATCCATCAGCTACGTGGGACACTCTACATTATAGTGTGAGAAATGTCCCATCACATCCTCACAACCTCACATGTTTGTGAGCACTGTATATAAAGTGACTCTGAGAACAGCCTCTGCCAGTGTCCCAACTATATCTCACCTGTGAGTTGAGCTGGCTTCCATCTACATCTGGCTGGAGCAGCCGAAGATTCAACGACAGATGAGTCCTGTCGAGAATTTACTATGCAAATGTGGACAGAGGCCTTCAAGAGACTTGAGTTACAAACAACATAGCGAACCTGTCCAGTATAAACGTGAGCCATCACGCAACCTGTCCTTACACACTCAGGCATTTGGGAACACCTTAGCGACATGAATGTGAAGAAGGGGTCTCCACATCCTTCCAATCGGGGGTCTCCAGTCTCTCTATGTCAGGTAAGCATAAGCAGGGCCTTTGCATCTCTGTCACCTGTGGAATCCTGCCACCAGGGACAGCACAGGAGCTCAATCTACATCTGACCCTCCCAGAAGAAGACAAACTGTAGCCTGCATCATTACCCCAGAGCCATTTCCTGCAGTAATGATCACACCCATGTGCAGAGGCCTCCAGAATGAGGTTGTGAACAGAGCTGACAATTTCCTCCATCCCTCAGACACATGTGGAAAGATCTGTAAGGAGAGTATGTGCAAACGCGCATACGCTGACACAGACACATAGGCACACACATGTGCATCCTCACCATCCCAGGCAACTGTGCAGCCCGGTGCAAACACAGACATGAGTAGCATCCTCCTGTGTCCTGAAAAACTCAAGCTCATACAGCATGATGGGAGCAGACCCTGCATGTCCTGCCAGCCACTCCCGTGCATAGACTCGTCTGCACCATGCATGTGAGTAGCACACTTTGCTCCTGACCTCTTGAACTGCTCCCACCTGCACATCCCAGAGTCACAAGGAGGACATGGCCTGGGAACTGCAAGACATGTGTGACAACAGAGGCAGCCTGGATTGACCCCTCAAACACCCACCCAAGAAGTACCAAGCCGACTCTTCACCAGCTCTGGTAAGTAGCACTCAGTCATTTTCCTCATTGCCGCTGGGATATGCATGGGAGCAGCGCACTGCATGTTCTGAACAACATCGGCAATTGTGAGGCCCTGGGGAACCAGGCTGTGAGCAGAAATCAAACTAACTGACCCCCTTAAGGGTGAAGACAACTTGCAAAATCCACATGTGACCAGAATCTCCACACATGTACCGAATGTCCAGGGTGGCAGTCACACTCTGGACGGTGTAGATGTGAGTGGGGTCTCTCGAAGGCAGACGGATTCAGGTACATGTGTGGCCTGCACGATGTGGATGTTAGGAGCACACTGACACCCCTTGTGTTGACCATCTGGGGCACCTGCAGGGCCTGGTACACTGTGGATGACAATGCGGCTCCACCCAATCCACATCACAGCAGGGATTTCTTTGTACTAGACCTCCCCATCATCTGTATGGTCAGATCTTCCTCTTATCTGCACCACCTCAGGAATGTGGTATGCTGTTAAATGTGCATCTTGTCTGATACCTTGAGAAAAAGAACATCGTCGGCCTCAGAAGAGTCCTGAAGAACAAGGACATGCACCTCAGTCCCCCTGTAGTGGACCTACCACTGATGCAGTTGTGATTCCTGTCCAATGTCTTGTACCCTGAGAACTCCATGACCTCAATAACCAACTGTAAACGGAGCCCTCTCTATTGTAAACCTGCATTCCCCTGACCTGTCAGCCCTGCCTCAAGCATGTATAAAACCTTTTGCATTGTGAACCTGACCTCAGGTCCCCCATCATGTCCTCCCTACTCCCACTTGTCTGATGCTTAGTGCAATGTCACCATCATTTTATTCACCTGTCCCATGGCATGGAGTCCAGCACAGAGTGGTGAGCACACACTCCTGTTCTGACTCTGCCATGAATGTGTGTAGCACCAAACACCACAGATGTGAGCAGGGCCACTCCGCCGTGTCTTGATGACCTCAGGCACTGCTGGAGCCCTGCACAATGTGGAAGTGTGTGCCCATCATTCATCTCCTGACCCACTCTGATGTGTGTGCCCTTTGCAAAGTCAAAGAGAACACAGCACAGACATGGCATATGCATCGTCACCTTGCATGCAGCCCTGTAGGAAGAGGACATGACAAGTGGTGCACCATTTCTGGACCCAGTGGCAGACTCTGTGAAAAAACTCTTTCACACAGTTACAGCCAGGGAACCACAGCCTGCCGTCATCAGCCTCACTAATGTGTGGCCCTCCCCAAGTGAATATGAGCAGAACCCTGCCATTGTCTGAAACACCACCGATGTGCACTCAGCTCTAAAGTGAATGTGAGCAGAACCTCTCACTGTCCTGAACAACTCAGGCATCTGTGGCCCGCTGCATCAATTGACTGACAGCAGAGCCTGCCCTTTGTAGTGACAACCTCATGCCCTGGAGGAGCCCTGGATAGAGGGGATTTGGACATAGCCTTTCCATACACCAAAAATCACAGGTAAGTGTGGCCCCGCTATAAAGAGAAGGCAAACAGAGCCCCACATACTGCAGACCTCAGCATCATGCATGAAGCCTTCTTCAGGGTGGAGGCAAAAAGAGGCACACCGCTTGCTAACCGCCACTATCAGGTAGGTACAAGCCTGCAATGACACTGAGGAGAGCAGAGCAGTGTAGAGTGGTGCTCATCTCGTGCATGTGGAACCCTTTTCAACATGTAACACGCACACAGCGGCCCATTCCATCAATGCCTCAGGCCTGTGTGGAACTCTCCACCAGGAAATGGGCACCATGTGCCGCACACACAAAGACCAACTCAGGCTCCTGTGGAGCCGTGAACAACGCTCTATGAGCAATGCCATCTTGTCTTGTCCAGACAAACTGAGGCACGGTTAGAGCCCAGACAGGCGATGATCACCTCTGCAAGACAAGAACCTCATCAAAGGAGGATGAGAACTCACTTCCCCCTTGCAAACATCTGCTGGGATTGGGAGCCCTCTCCAAGGTAAGTGGAAGCACAGGACTCATAACTTCAATCCATCAGCTACGTGGGACACCTCTACATTATGGTGTGACAAATGTCCCATCACATTCTCACAAACTCACATGTTTGTGAACACTCTACAAAGTGACTCTGCGAACAGCCTCTGCCAACACCCCAGCTACATCTCACCTCTGAGTTGGGCTGGCTTCCATCTGCATCTCTCTAGAGCAGTCCAGGACTCAACCACAGAAGACTCCTGGGGAGAATCTACTTTCCAAATGTGGACAGAGGCCTCCAAAGACAGAGAGACTGCACTTAGAAACAATATAGGGAACCTGTCCAGTATATATGTGAGCAAGGCCACCCTTCAACCTGTCCTGACACACTCAGGAATTTGGGAACACCTGAGTGACATGAAAGTGAAGAAGGGGTCTCCACATCATGCCAATCGGGGGCCTCCAGTCTCTCTACATCAGGTAAGCATAAGCAGGGTTAGGGTTGCATCTCTGTCACCTGTGCAGCCCTGCCGCCGTGGACAGCACAGGAGCTCGATCTACTTCTGACCCTCCCAGACGAATACAAACTGCAGATTGGCTATGACCAGAGCCATTTCCTCGAGTAATGATCACACTCATGTGCAGAGGCCTCCACAATGTGGTTGTGAACAGAGCTGCCAATTTCCTCTGTCACTAACCCACACTTGGAAAGATCTACAAGGTGAGTATGTGCAAAACCGCACCTATTTTGCAGCACAAATGCACATAAGCTCACACACACACATCTGCACAAACATATGCATTCCCAGCATCCCAAACAGCTGTTCAGCCCTGTGAAAACACAGACATGAGTAGCATCCTCCTTTGTCCTGAACAACTGAAGCCCATACAGCATGATGGGAGCAGAGCATGCATGTCCTGGCTACCATTCCTGTGAGTAGACTTGTCTGCATCATGCATGTACGTCGCACACTTTGCTCCTGATCTTTTGACCTGCTCCCACATGCACCTTCCAGAGTCACAAGGAGGACATGGCCTGGGACTTGCAACACATGCATGACCACAGAGGCAGCCTGGAGAGAACCCTCAAACACCCAAACAAGCAGTACCAAGCCGACTCTTCACCAGCTCTGGTAAGTAGCACTCAGTCATTTTCTTCATCGCTGCTGAGATATGCATGGGAGCAGCGCACTGCATGTTCTGAACAACATTGGCAATGGTCAGGCCCTGGAGAACCAGGCTGTGAACAGAAATCAAACTACCTGACCCCCTTAAGGGTGAAGACAACTTGCAAAATCTACATGTGACCAGACTCTGCTCACATGTGCCTACTCTCCAGGGAGGCAGTCAAAATCCGGTGGATGTACATGTGAGTTGGGTCTCTCACAGGCAGACGGATTCAGGTGCATGTGTGGCCTGCACGATAGGGATGTTAGGAGCACAGTGCCACCCCTTGTGTTGACCATCTGGGGCACCTACAGTGCCTGATACACTGTGGACGACAATGAAGCCCCTCCCAATCCTCATCACAGCAGGGATTTCTTTATACAAGACCTCCACATCATCTGAATGGTCAGATCTTCATCCCATCTGCACCACCACAGGAAAGTGGAATCCTGTAAAATGTGCATCTTGTATGATACCTTCAGATAAAGAACATTGTGGGCCTCAGAAGAGTCCTGCAGAACAAGGACATGAACCTCAGTCCCCCTGTAGTGGACCTACCACTGATGCAGTTGTGATTCCTGTCCAATGTCTTGTACCCTGAGAACCCCATGACCTCAATAACCAGCTGTAAATGGGGCCCTCTCTATTGTAAACCTGCATCCCCCTGACCTGTCATCCCTGCCTCAAGCATGTATAAAACCTTTTGCATTGTGAACCTGACCTCAGGTCCCCCATCATGTCCTCCCTACTCCCACGTGTCTGATGCTTAGTGCAATGTCACCATCATGTTAGTCCCCTGTCCCATGGCATGGAGTCCAGCACAGAGTGGTGAACACACACACTCCTGTTCTGACTAGGCCATGAATGTGTGTAGCACCACACACCACAGAGGTGAGCAGGGCCACTCCACCGTGTCTTGATGACCTCAGGCACTGCTGGAGCCCTGCACAATGTGGTTGTGTGTGCAGATCATCCATCTCCTGACCCGCTCTGATGTGTGTGACCTTTGCAAAGTCAAAGAGAACACAGCACAGACATGGCATATGCATCGTCACCTTGCATGCAGCCCTGTAGGAAGAGGACATGACAAGTGGTGAACCATTTCTGGACCCAGTGCAGACTCTGTGAAAAAACTCTTTCACACAGTTACAGCCAGGGAACCACAGCCTGCCGTCATCAGCCTCACTAATGTGTGGCCCTCCCCAAGTGAATATGAGCAGAACCCTGCCCTTGTCTTAAACACCACAGATGTGCACTCTGCTCTAAAAGGAACGTGAGCAGTGCCTCTCACTGTCCAGAACAACTCAGGCATGTGCAGTCCGCTGTATGATTTGACTGATAGCAGAGCCTCCCCTTTGTCCTGACAACCTCAGGCTCTGGAGGAGCCCTGGACAGGGTGGATGTGGACCCAGCCTTTCCATACTTCCAAAATCCCAGGTAAGTGTGGCCCCACTATAAAGAGAAGGAAAGCAGAGCGCCACATACTGCAGAGCTCAGCATCATGCATGAAGCATTCTACAGGGTGGAGGTAAGAGGAGGCACACTCTTTGATGACCAACTCTCTGACGTAGGCACAATCCTTCAACAACACAGAGATGAGCAGAGCACTGTGGAGTGGTGCTCATCTTGTGCATGTGGAACCTTTCAACATGCAACACACACACAGCCCCCAGTTCCATCAATGTCTCGGGAGTGTGTGGAACTCTCCACCAGCAAATGGGCACTGTGTGCTCACACAAACAATGACCATCTCAGGCTCCTGTAGAGCTCTGTACAACTCTCTGTGAGCAATGCCCTTTCCCGAGAACCTGAGGCATGGGTGGAGCCCAGCCAGGTGGTGATCCCCTCTCCGAGTTCTGTCAAGAACCTTACACAAGGAGGACGTGAACACACTTCCCCGTTCATACTTCTGCTGGGAATGTGAGGCCTCTCCAAGGTAAGTGCAATCACAAGCCTCACAACTCCGATCTATCAGCTACGTGGAACACCTCTACATTATGGTATGAGAAATGTCCCATCACATGCTCACAACCTCACATGTTTGTGAGTACTCTATAAAGTGGCTCTAGGAACAGCCTCTGCCAGCGTCCCAACTACATCTTACCTCTGAGTTGAGCTGGCTTCCATCTATGTGTGGCTGGAGCAGCCCAGGAGTCAACCGTGGAAGAATCCTGTCGAGAATCAACTATGCAAATGTGGACAGAGGCCTCCACAGACGAAGAGACTGGACTTACAAACAATATAGGGACCCTGTCCACTGTACATGTGAGCAAGGCCACCCCTCAAAATGCCTGCGTCCTGACATGCTCAGCCATTGGCGAACATGTGAGTGACATGAATGTGAAGAAGGGGTCTCCATGTCCTGCCATTCGGGGGTCTCCAGTCTGTCCTGCTGTAGCAGGTAAGCATAAGCTGGGTCTTTGCATCTCCTATGGAGCCCTGCTTCCATGGACAGCACAGAAGCTCTGCCTACTTCTGACCCAGTCGGAGGAGTTCAATCTGTGCAGCTTGGTTGTGACCAGAGCCATTTCCTGTGGTAATGATCACACCCATGTGCGGAGGTCTCCACAATGAAGTTGTGAACAGAGCTGCCAACATCCTACATCCCGCAGCCACATGTGCAACGATCTGCAACGTGAGTATGTGCGTAACAGCACCTCTATCCCAACACAAACACACATATGCACAACAGACAGATCCGCACATACACATATGCATCCTCACCATTCCAGGCAGCTGTGCAACTCTGTGCAAACCCACACATGAGTAACATCCTCCTGTGTCCTGACCATCTCAAGCCCATGCAGCATGATGGGAGCCCAGCCTGCATGTCCTGCCAACCATTCCTGCGAGCAGACTCATCTGTACCATGCACGTGAGTATTACACTATGCTCGTGACCTCTTGACTTTCTCCCACGCGCATACCCCAGAGTCACAAGGAGAACATGGCCTGGGACTTGCAAGACATGCATGACCACAGAGACACCCTGGAGAGACCCCTCAAACGCCCAAGTAAGCAGCACCAAGCCGAACCTTCACCACCTCTGGTAAGTAGCACCAAGTCATTTTCCTCATTGCCGCTGAGATATGCACAGGGGTAGCGCACTGCATGTTGTGAACAACGCAGGCAATTGTGAGGCCCTGTAGAACCAGGCTGTGAGCAGAAACCAAACTACTCGACCCCCTCAAGTACCGAGGACACCTTGCAAATCTTACATGTGACAAGAATCACCCTCATGTTCCGACTTTCTAGGCTGGTAGTCACACTCTGGATGATGTACATGTGATTGGAGTTTCTCACAGTCAGATGAATTCAGGTACATGTCTGGCCTGCACAATGGGGATGTCACCAACACTGCAACACCCTTTGTGCTGCCCATCTGTTGCCCCTGCAATGCCTGGTACACTGTGGATGAGAATTGAGCCACACCTCATCCCCGTTAGAGTAAGCATTTGTTTATATAAGACCTCCGCATAGACTCGATGGTGAGATCTTGTACCATCTGCATCATCTGATGCATGTGGAAAATGTGCATTTTGTATGATACTTTGAGATAAAGACTATTGTCAGTATCAGCAGAGTTTTGGCAAACAAAGACATGAACACCAGTCCCCCTTTGGTGGACCTACCTCTAATGTGTCTGTCATCCCCATACAATGTAGTTGTTCCCTGAGAGCCCCATCATCTTAGTAACTGGCTCTGTATGTTGCCCTCCAAATATTAAAGTAAGCATAGCTTTGCCTGTTACCTCAGTTGTCATTACCATGGGAGTTACATAGGGAATGTTTTACAATGTGAAGTAGACCTGAATAGTCCCCATATCCTCATCACCTGTGTGATGCCTTAAAAGATTTGTTAATCTAGCTGCCTTTCTCCTTTGTGGGCAATTCTAGAATGTCATGATCATTAACTTCCCTGTCCTGACCTCCTCAGGAATATGTGGATATCTGCAAGGCTACAGTTCCATATCTTGATGCCCTTATGCCTTGGTGTTGCCTGGCCGATCATGGATATGAGAAGAGACCCTCCATTTCGTGACAGCATCCAGTGGGTTCTACCTTTACACGGTCAGTGTGATCAGAGCTCACATGTTATATGCATCACCATCAGATATGGAGCCCTGTGCAATGAGAAGCGCTGCAATATTCATCCGAACTCGGGCCCTTGGAAAACTTTTGCAGTTTGAATGTGACCAGTAGGACCCCATGTGGTCATTACCTCTTCAATGTGAGGAGCTCTCTTTAGTGTGAAAGGAAACCGCGCAGCCTAAGTTCTCAGGAGCTCAGGAATGTGTGAAATCCTCGGCAGGGGTATGTGACAGCAGCCCCCGTACAAATGCTAGCATCTCAGCCATGGGTGCAGTGCTAGAGAGTACATGGCCTGAGTTGTACCCTTACTATTCTGATGGCACAGATATGGGTCCTCAACATGGATATTCAACAGTTCCCTTAATATCATGGTCAGCTCCATGGTATGGGGATCCCCTATACACCTACACAATGAAAAGGTGAGCATCAGTTCCATGTGTCCCTGTATTACTGACATGTGTGGATCCCTGTGTGTGGACCTGAGGATGTGCTCAGAACCACTGTATCCAGCCCCTCTCAGGTCCTTGGAGCCCTGTCACTAGGAGGAGGTCCTCAGAGCCTTCCATTTCCTGACCATCTGAATTTCCTGACCATCCTGAAATTCTCCAAATCAGGGAACTGAGCACTGCCCCTTGTTTTGACCACATCAGGTACCTGAAGCCTTCTGTAATGCTGTTGTGAATGGAGCACCTGATTTCCCTTCCTTATCTGGCATATGCCACAGATAAAAGTAGGGACGTCATTATCCAGACCATTTCAGAAATCAACAGAGACCTCTTAACATGGATACTCAACAGTTCCCTTAATATCATGGTCATCTCCATGGTACATGGATCCCCTATTCACCATGAATGTGACTACTGTCGCACCCATGTTCTGCACTACTCAGGTGTGGGTAGACTGCTGTATACCATGTGTATGTGAGAAGAAACTCACTCATCCATATCCAAGTGTCCTCAGGCTTTTATATCCCGGCCAAGCACCTACTTGACCTACACATGAACAGAGCCTCCCATGTCCAAACCCCTCAGGCTGTATGTAGAGCTGTCCACAATGTAGATAGAAAATACCCACCCTACTGCCTACTTTCTACAGGTGTGTGTGTGGAGCCATCTACAATGTAGATGAGAGTAGAACCTAACAGTGCCACGCCCCATCCCACATATGGAGCCCTATCCTGAGATGCTGTGAGTAGAGCTCTCTACCACCTCATTCTGATTCTTAGCCTTGTCTCAGCCACTTCAGCAATGCTGTATGGAGGTCACTCCTCCCCAGATAAGAGCAGCACCCCTCCATCATGACTGACCACGTCAGTTGTGTGCACAGCTTCTTCCTCATGGAAGTGAGCAGAGGCCACCCCATGTCCTGACTATCTCAGCTGTGTGAGGAACCCTCCATAATGTGGACGTTCAAAATGCCCAGTCCTGAACATTGCTTAGTGTCTGCTCTTTACAATGGGAATATAGACAAAGGCCTCATCCTGTGACCATCTGAGGTGTACAGAACCTGCTAGAAACTTAGTATAACCAGAATGTCCCCATCTTCATACTCTGGCCACTATAAACACATGTGGAGGTCTCTACAACGTGGGTGTAAGCAGTTGTGTACCACATTTCCTAACCATCCCAGGCATAAGTGTGGGAACAGCCATACATTGTTGTGTGTGGATGAGCTCAGAGCTACCCTGTCCTGATCACTGCAGGTGTGTGGCTGCCTCTCGGACATGAATGTGAGTGGAAAACCATGTCTTCAGTATTTCACATATGTGGACCTTCCCTCAGGTCAGTGTGAACAGAAGGCCCTCAACCCACATTCCTGGTCATCGCAGGTGTGGGCTGGCTCCTTTAAAATATGCCTGTGAGGAGAGTTCCCCGTGTCCTACAAGGTAGATCACAGCAGAGGTCCCCCATATCCTGACTCTCCATAGGGAAATCTGAGAGCACAACCTAAATAAAGGAAATGAAGTGCAAACAGCAAACAACACAGAGCTAATGCCACAGCCTGAGCTCTGACTGCTTCCTACCCTTGTATAACAAACTGTCTTTGTATCTTTTTAGATCACTTCAGCCAAGTAAAGGATCATCTGTCAAAGTCAACTCAGGACCAGGTGGCTTTCCTGACACACACTCGAGGCAATATAAAGTTGAGAAAATGTCCAAAGTTTTTACCCTGAAGCTTAACTACAGTTAGGCACAGCAAGGCACTGTAAGACTTTTTCAGCCACTGACGCATTTTAGAAACAATCAAGTTTGAAGTAGGCTATGACATAGCCTGAATTGAAAAGGTTAACTGAATATAGCCTCTCTGCACTGTCATCCTGCATGGCCATAGCAGGACTGAAGGGCTGCTGCTTAGGACACTGTGAATCCTGATTTCAGCAAAGCCCTCTTGGTGACATCTTGTGAAAACGTTCCATAGTGCAGCCCTCACAACTGAATGGCAGGTAGGCTGTTTACCAAACCCTCAGCATGGAACACAAGCCTGATTCTGGGCCCCATGCAGAGACAAGCTGGATGTGCTGGTCAGAGCTATATTCAGGACAGCAGGAAAACACTGAGGCACAGTAACTGTCAGTTTTCTGCAGGGAGATCTGCCTGAGACGCATCAAGCAGCTGAAAATGCATCGATGTCACTGGTTTCAGAAATGTTTGGCGTATGCACCCTCGCTTATCACCCACTCCAAACACAGATCCCAAAGCATCTCTGCAAAGTAGAGGGCCACACTATAGTGGATGGTGCCACTCACCGAAACAGAAGCACAGTGGGATGGCAGGCACACAGTGACATCCTGGAACACACTATGAGGGTGACCGCTGGATGTCCCCAACAGTACAACTCTGCTTTATTCTGACATCACAGCTGTGCCTCTCAGTTCATCATGGAGGACACACAGGGCCCATGGTGCAGAAGCTGATTAGGGGACTCACAGGACAAATGGCGTCTCTGCATCACACCGCCTTGCATACTGCCTCCCACGGCCTATCAAAGGCAATGGTAATGGGGTGAAGCTATCTGCTCAAGGTGGCTGACTGGGGGAAAACATCTGGCTTAACCATAATGCTGGCACTTCCAGAGCACTAGCCACCACCCAGTGTTGAAATATATGCACTGAAACTCTCAGGTAACTAGGAAAGCAAATCCTTCCAACCTAGAACAGAAGGACAAGATTCAATACTGCTGTCTTTACTGAAAAGTGCATGTAGGGCTGGGAATTTAGCTCAGAGGCATAAGTGCCTGCCTTGCAAGCCTGTGGTCATGAGTTCGATCCCTGGTACTGGTAAATAATTTTTTAAAAAGTGCATGTAAATCTTTATGCTACACAAGGGATCTTGTACAAATTCCCTATGATGAACATGATGATTATATATCTGAAATGTATTACCAATGCACTTAATTAAGAAATAAAACAACATGAAACAGTATTCTCCACAGTATCAAATTTTAAAATGTACCTGGGCTTCCTCAGCCCCTGGGCCTGCTGCAACCTGAGGCCTCCTACACCACTGGGAGCACTTGAACTCACCCACGGCAGTTCCTTCCGGCAGCTTCAACTGGTACAACTGGAAATCAATACAAATGTGGAGCAACTGCGTTTAGTAAAGGTGCACGAATTCCAAGTAAGCTGTTGCGAACTTTTCCTGAGACAGGAAAAAACAAAACCGTTAACAGGTGCTGAAAAGGGTGTGGGGCAACTGACAGAACCAGTGTGTATTTGTGGACAGCAGCTTGGTACACCACTTGGCCCATCAGGCAACAGGGAGACCTCAAAGGGGCCACCCCTGCACAAGGAGTGGGACCCACAAGGCCATGGAGCACCATGCAGTGCTCTGAGCAGGCTCCTCAGTCTCCACCAAGATCCTCACAAGAGTCAGAGGGTAAAGCAGGCATCGCAGAGCCAGGTGAGGCCTTGACTTTAAGACGTATTTTTGTCAAAACACAGAAATTTTTGGGTTCAAACAGTATTTCCGGGACTGTGGCTAAGAAGCAGGCTTTTTATGTTCCTTACATAGACCCTTCTGAGCTATATCAATGTCTTAACCTAGTACCTAAGGAAAAGTATCAAATGATCAGAAAGGTCTCAGCCAACAGCTCAGATCCCACATTAAGAGGTTCCAGGTCAATGTGAGGAAAGAAAAAAGAACATAAGGTCAGGTGTACAATCTCCCATGTACAGTGTCATGTGAGGTGAGATAGCTGGAGCTGGGTGGTGTGGTGCATACCTACAATCCCCACACTAGAGGGTGAGGCTAGAGGATTTAGGGGTCAGCCCTCACAATGATTGGCAGATATACCTGACAAATAAATACTTGTGCAATCAACCTGTACCATGGCATGATTCTGTAGGTGTGTAACTTGTAAAATGAGTTCTACATAAAGTAGAATAACACAACTATCACCACTGCATGGCTACCATTGGATTGTAAGGGCACATTAGGCCATGTGACACTAAAGCCGAGCAGGATGCTGGTGGCCTCCAGAATTCTCCATGTCAGGCTTCTCCTCAGCCCTCAACCTAATGTATGTACATGTACAACTACACTTACATGCCTCACACATGCACACACTTCTCACACCTCACCTCACCACACAGCTCCAGATCATCCCCCACAAAGTTCTGTTTCCTTCACTTGGGCACAGGAACACTATGCTTTTGTAGGTGGGGCCTCAGTACCTGTTTTGGCTACATGGATATTGTGGTTACCAATGTTCTCATTTCCTTCATCTGAATCACCCCTCTGCAATCCATCTCTGTGTTGTTTTTCTCCATGGCATGAATCACTTGCTTTCTGAGCTTCTCAATCATGGGCCTGTATCTGGTAGATGCAAGCTCACTATATCCCTGTTGCATCTTCAATTTTGTCAATGTGATTAGAATAATGTCCATGCACAAGAGGAACCAAAGGCACATTTTCTCAATGAAAACAAGAAAGAAAACGTGAATCAAAATGCAGAATATTCTTACCCTAGAAAGCATTGAAAATCTGCAGCAGGTAGCTAGGGCTGCTAGTCCTATGCACAACCATGTAGGAAGACAAAAGCCGGAGTTTCAGTCAGGATGGTGGCTGTGAGCTCCTGGAGCCAGTCATCCTGAGGTCCCCCAAGCCCACCTACCACATGTGCCCCGTGCAGACTCTTACTCGCTGCAGTGCACCCAGCAACTCCAACCAAGGCCCTCGCATATTCACATAAAGAAGTGATGACTAATCTCTGTCAGCACAAGTGGTGCAGTGGGGACTGCTGATCTCTTTAATCCCCTGATACCCTGCAAACAACAGTAGTGGCACCAGCACCATGCAATTGTCTGCACTCACCTGTGCTCGCATGTGGGTGCCCTTGGGAGCCTCCTATGTGGAATGACCTCTGGTCCCACATTTCTGCAAGTGCAGGTGCTACTATTGCTCTAGGGTGCACAGAGCATCCCACTGCCAACGCTTTCTTTCACATTGCAGCTGACCAGTAACAACCAGAGGACACGGCAAAGGTGTACTGTATACCTGTGCAACATGGTGTTGCCATTTCCTGGTCCCACTGGCTGCTGGAGGTGTCTCTGATGGCCAGGGCAATTCGACAGTGGGCTGATTCTGTCGGTGTTATTGTTGGCATCCAACTGGTGCTCAATTATTAATAACCAAGGTGCAAAAGACAGGTGGTAAAAAACAAAACAGCAAAATCAAACCAGAGGATAGGGACTGTTACAGTACAGTTTCTCCTCACTAAAAGCCACACAAAGGCAGTGAAGATCTATCTGTGAGGGCACCAGCTGAGGGAAGGGTTAACTTGTCTCTACCAGCTTGTATCCTCAAGGAGGGCCTCTGCTATGTGGTGGCCTGGAGCCTCTGAATGTGACATCAGAGCATGTGACAGGGAAGACCAACACTGTATTCAGCCCTTCAACACTTACAAATGATAAGCTAGTAGGATTGCTGGCACAGGCCTATAGTTCCAGGTACTGTGGAGGCAGAAGCAGTAGCACAGAAAGTTCAAGTTTAGCCTGGGCAGCTTACTGACGTACTAGCTCATGTAATAATAAAAATAAGGAATCAGGTGCAAGGGCTAGGGACGGAGCTCATTTCTGGCATGTTTAAGACCCTGAGTTCCTTCCTGAGCACTAGACAAGCAAATGGTTCCAGCTTCCCTCCTCATACAAATACAGAAGAGAAAAGCTAGATTTGGTTTATGCCATAAGAGTGGTACTTTAGTTGTAAAATATCACAAAGCTAAAGCACAAGTAATAGGAAGCTCAGGAATGTTAGTCTCACACTTAGGGCCACTGTCACTCAGGGCCCAGTGGGCTCCAAAAGACGCAGCTGAAAAGGTGAACTCCTGGACTGGGATTCTGACTTGTTTGGAGTCAGTGGACAGGAGAATGGGGCCGATCCTTGGGTTCAGACTGGGAAACATGGATGCGTAGGGATTGACCTCAACCAGAAATAGACCACTTCCCGAGGAAATTCATGATATTCTTCTCAATCTCTGAAATTGTATTGATAGCAGTCAAAATATGTCACTGCTACCAATAGATGACTGAGAGAAGAAAAGGCAAATTCTAGGTGATATCCCAGGCCACAACTCATAATCGCTATGGATTACATCCAGTAGCCATAGAAAGTAGCTGTGTACTTAAAAAGACAACAGTTTCATTGGAGACAAAATTCTCACTGTAGTGTCTATGCTGGCTGTGAATTCAAACATGTAGCCCATGTGACTTCAAAATCAAGGTTGTCCTGCCTCAACAGCCGAAGGGCTAGGACTACAGCAATGTGTCACCACCCTTTCTGAAGATAAGACAGTCAAAAGTCAAGAAAAACAAATTATGTTTTCATTGCAAGGCTAGCGGTAACATATCCACCCATCCTGAAACACTCTACTTTCACGGTTAATCAGCGGTAGCTTCCTTCTGTCACTTGCCAATGTGAGGCCCTATTCTCAGGGTCTCAGTCTCTGCAGGGCCAGTGCCATACGGCTCTCCTTGCATAGCATGAGATCCTGAATGGCAGGATTGTTTCACTCCACAACCTGGGGCCGGGTGTTCACCAAGTACCTCTCTAGCATATTGGCTCTTCCAAGTGTAGGGCAGTCAGTACTACACATACGACCTGCTGCAGAGCTTTCTCTTCCATGCACCTAACTCAGAACTCAAAATCAGCTAGATGTGATGGTGCATAACTATGGATCCGAGGTGAGGCAGGAGACAGCAATTTCAAGGCCATGTAGGAACCTTCAAAAGAACTATAGCTTGAGGTGCATGGCAACGTCTCCATGGCTTCAATCCTCGTACTGCAAACAATCAACCCATCAGGAATCCAAACTACTCAATACATTGGTGAAGGTCATATATAAGATGACGTAGGTGCTCTTGATATCCGAAGGCACTAACCCAGCACTGCTCCTCCACATTGGTAACAGATTGTAGTTTGTTCTATTTTTGCATCACAATGACACCAAGTCAATGGCAACCCAGAACGTTAATTTTCTCCCTACCGTTGGAGAAGGACAGTTGGTCAGGCTTAGCTGTATGCCTCTGCCTATGTGTCTGTCACATGCCAAGGCATAGGCAGACTCCTACGAATACATCAGGAGCCTTGTCTATGTTCACTCACACAAACTGAGTCACTTGGGTATGAGGAGGATTTATTCCTCTATGGGCATTGACTGAAGGCACCAGTCTCGACTGCCTGGTTACCAAGGGCTTCTCTATTGGGTGGCATAGGATACAGCAGATCGTGTCCGAGGTAATGATCTGGAAGCGACATATGCAAGGCACAACTATAGAGTCTTTTTGATCTCCTCTCACAAATGACTTCCCTCCGTTTCTGCTGTGTTCTGTTCACAAGGTTTGCTTACCTACTGTGCGCGATCAATAAAAACTGTGCACGCTGAGGGACCACAAGAGAGGCATCCTGCCTCCAGGATGGAGGGTCTGACAACATATGCCAAAGACACTGGGGAAACATTCTGTCATGACCAGAGCATTAGACACAAAAGCCTTCACTCATGTGGCTGAACACTGAAGCTAAGGCATTCACATCTTCCTCCCTATAATACACATGTTATGCCAGGGCTCCCATAGTACTTGCCACATGCTATGTACCAGGTCCAATTGGCATGATGTCACATGAATGAATGTTGACAGCTGGTGTCCACCTAGATATGGCCCATTTACATACATCTTGTGTTGGTTTCTTGTCTCTTTAAGCCAATACAAAATACCTCACACCTAAAATTAAGGTTCAAAGCGTTATTTAGCTCACAGTTTGTGGAGGTTTCAGTCTGTAATCATCTGTAAGGAAGGGTGGCATGACTCAGGGGCAACTGTTCATGGCCATAGAAGACAGCAAAAGCAGCAAGAGCAGGAATCAAAAGAGTGCATAGTAAAGTCTCTTTCTGTCCCTTACATTTCCTTGTTAGCTACACACCGTAGGATAGCCAACATGCAATACGATACGCATATCCATATACAATAATCAATGTAATATAACATACCTATAATCCGAGCATAGGACCATAAATCAACTGGAAATTCTAGAAACCTGCGTCCATGACTGCATAAGGTTTAGGGACATCTAGACACAAACCTTAACAGTGGCAATCTAGAAATTAGTCCCTCACCTGCTTCCCCTCTCCACACTCTTTCACAGTCCATCTGCACTTTCTAAGTGGACCTTACCACCTTCCTTGTGATCTTATTGATTTGCCTCTCTTTAGAATGCAAACTCACCAAATCACAGGTGTGGCTCATTTGTTCACAGCTATTAGAACAATTTCCAAACACAAGTCTAATCCAAAGCCCAAACAGAGCAAAGCAATAGAAAGAACAAATGAATGGATACAATGATGACAAATAGATGAAATAGAAAGATGACAGGAAACCCAGAGCGTGCTTACCATACAAAGCATGCACCGAAAATGCTGAGCAAGTAAAGAGGGCTCTGAGTCCTACTTCCCATGCACACAGGAAAAGACAGGCTGCAGTTCAGGTCAAGGTGCTCGGCTCTGGTACCTGTAGCCGGGGACATCTCAGCTGCTGTGCTGCCCCTAGCCTTCCAGATCCACCAGAGCTAGCACCACAGAAAGGCACCCGTGCAAGCACGTGGAGCAGACTCAGTCACCAGTACGCGTGGCCTATATTAGCACTCTCCCCAACGGTCTCCTTCCTGCATTGGTGAGCTGCCCAAGGGTCATAGCCACGCCCCTAACTGAACAGATAGGCAAGTGACCAGGTGCACAGTCCAGAGGAGGTTCCAACTGACCCCTTGCATCAGGTTCGCGCCAGACCCGCCTTCCGGATACCGGTGCCTCTCATTGGGCGAGAACTGCTGCCCATCTTCTCAACCACCAATGGAACACGGCTGCCGCAGGAGGCCAAGCTAGTAGGTGTCAGGTGATCTAATCCTGTTTAAATCCTCGTTTACTGGGATAGCTGCCAGTTTCCAAGGCAACATGCCTGTTCCACAAGGTCAGCTAGCCTGCTAATGATATGCTCCATCCCTGGCATGCAGTGTGTGAGCTCTCAATATTGGTGTGCTGGGCAAGTTAGTCAGATCCTGTTTCAAAATTTAAATCAATCAATAAAGAGTAAATTAAAGGTGTAGGGGGGGGGGTTATTCGAGCGCATGTCAACATTGAAAACTTTCACAGGTTTTGCAACTCTGACCTACACAAAGGTACTGAAGGTGTGCTGCCCAGGATTGCAGCTCAGGTGGGAAGTCACTTGGAGGTCTGGGCAGGCAATGGGATGGCCCAGCACTTTCAAGGCTAATGTCAATTACCTTTAGTCCTTTAGTTAAATAATAATGTTGTCAGGCGTGGAGACACATGCTTGTAATGCTAGCTACTAGAAAGGCTGAGGCAGTAGGACTGCAAGTTTGAGCCCAGTCAGAGCAAGGTAGTGAGATCCTGTGTCAAAATAAAAATCAATCAATAAAGAGTATAAATTAAAGGGCTGTGGTTGGACCTCAGCGATAGAGCACTTACTTGCTTAGCATGTGTGAGGTCCTGAGTTCCATTCCCTTCACTGAAAAAAGAATTAATTCTGGGCTCGTTCTCCAATGTGATATAAGATAAAAAAGACAGAAAAAAGCAAAATAAATAAAATCTGGTTTATGGTATGCAAGTGGTACTATAGCAGTCAAATATCACAAAGAGTGCAATTGGGCCATTTTCACTCAGGAATCAGTGGATTCTGGAAGAGGCAGCTGAGAAGCCAAAATCCCAGACAGGGATTCTGACAGGTCTGTGTTTCCAGAGACTTGCAATTAATGTCCCATTTTTGAGAGGGATGTTGTAGCTGTAGAGTAGGGGCAATTAGCGCAGGAGTGTACTACCCTCTTTGGGAATATAACGAAATTCACCTGAACATCTGAAACTGCATTTTGGTGAGCAGGGATGTATTACTGGTACTATTACTTAGGCAAGGAAAAAAAAGGTAAAATTCTACAATGTGATATGGCTTGCTTCAAATTATAATTGCTGATGGATTACATCTAGCATCCCATAGAAATGAGTTGTGTACCTAAAAAGACAACGTTTTTTGTTGTTTTTCATTCTCTTTTGAGAAAATTCTTGCTGTATTGTCCTGGCTGCTCTTTAACTTGAAATCCTCCTACATCAGCCTATTGAGGGCTGAGATGACAAAGATGTGCCACCATTCCTGGGATAAGAACACTGTCAAAAATCAGGAAAAGTTTCCTATGTTTTTCTGGCCCAGAGCCTTGGTAACCCACCCATGCTTACTGGAAACAGTGTGATTTCATTCGACTAGAGGGGCAGCTTCAGTCACTTATCAATATGAGGCCCAATGGTCTGGCTCTCAGCCAGTGCAGGGCCAGTAGCTCATGGCCTTCCTTGCATGGGCTGTCACCCTGCACAGCAGGAGGCCTGGCTTCATTCCTCAGCCTGGGCCTCTTGATGTTTCATATGCAAGGCACATTGGGTCTTCCAACTGTTGGGCAGCCTGCATTATAGATCCAGTGTGCTACAGAGCCTTCTCTGCTGTGCACTGCCCTGGGAACCCATCTCTTACATCAAGGCTGTCCATGAAGCTTGGCTCTGTACATTTGCCACCAGGTCTGTCACAGGCCAAGACATAGGTCTCAGAACAGGAGAAACATTTGAAAATAATTTATCTGAGAAGGTTCTGGTACCTAGAATATAGAGAAGAGAAGCACCTCAACAACTTCCTGGTGCAGTTCATGGGCACACAGCAGATCTGTAAATTAACAGAGGGGAAACAGACAAGTTCATAAAGTTGAGTCTTCCAAAAAGATTTCCAAATGGACTTCCAAATGGATGCAGTATCTTTTCTTGATTTACATCTACTTTGGGGTCCTTTGTGAGTCTGGATATTTTTCCAATACAGGTCTTGCAGTTGCTTCAAGTTTATTCCTAAGTGCCTTATGGCATAGGAAATGGGGTCTTCTCTTCCATTTTCCACTTCTGAGACCACTGAGAAATGCATTAGCCTCATATCCTGTTCTCATGTCACATTTTGTGATCAGTTTTCAAATACATACATTTTACTCTCTTAACAGAGAATGACTCACTCCCTATTTTGTTGGACAATGTTACTGAAGTCCTAGATACTAACCTCTCATTTTTCTTTTTCCTCAATGTTAAATTCTCTAGATCTCCATCGCAGGCCCAACAATACTATTTCTACCTCTTTGTCAATGTGTCTGTCCTTCTGATATCACTCTGCTACAGTAGACCACATTACCACAACGTTCAGTGAGTGGCGATGACACCTGTGTTCCACTTGAGCCTCAATTCTCCAGAAACTATCATCCTACACATCCACTCAGCTCCCTGGCTTCTCCACACTGTCACCTAACAACCACCTCAATCTTGGCACCCCAGGCAGTAGCACTGAGAGAAGCAGGGCTCTGTTAAGAAGTGCTCTATCTCTCTTCACACCCACCAATAGAACAGGAGGGATCCTCTCCCCTGTCCAGCCACCACCTCCTCCAAGGTGCTGACCTCTCACCCCGTCACTCCAACAGCCCACAACACTCTCCTCATTTCTACCTGCTCTCTCTGATCACTTCTCCACCTCCTACAGCAGACAGAATGGAGGTTGTATAATGTAGATAAGATCATTGAAAGCTTCATTTTGATTTGGGTTCTCCAGAGGGGAAAATGTTAGTGACTACCAACATTTCTCCCAATTTCTACAATTGCACCATGCGATTCCTGCACACAATTGAGATTTGCCAAATAGAAGCTGTTACCTGCATTAATAGTTGAAGACATAGACTCATGGGATGTATAACACACGACATTCAAATTCAGTAGTCACATTCAACCATTCTTTACACAGAAAATCATTCTTTTGGCTACATAACAAGTAATTTTATACATGACACCATCCTACTTATATTACCACATATTACTACATCATATTACTACATCCTACATCATATTACTATGACGAAGATGCAATTCTATTTGTTTTCTTTTCTTTTCTTTTTTCTGGTACTGGGGATAGAACTCATGACCTCACACTTGCCAGGCAGGAACTTATTCTGCTGAGCTAAATCCCCAGCTCTGAAGTTACCCTTCTAAAAGCAAATGGATCTTTTTTTTTAAAATGATACTGAAATAACCAGGCCTTCTAACTGAAGAACATCCAACCTAAGTTGTATAATTTTATTTAGAGACAGGATGTCCCTAAATCACTAGATCATGCAGAGTGGCCTCAAGCTTTGATCCTCCTTGCCAGCCCCGCCGAAGACTGAGCTTAAATGCATGCAACACCAAACAAACTTTAAACACAGCTCAGTACTCCTCTCTTTCAACACATTTCTTCTCACCTCTGAGAATTATAAAATTAAACCCAAAAGAGAAATTGCTCCAGATTTACAGTTTAAATACGTAAAGTTCAATAAATAAAATAACTCTTTTACTCTTCTGAGGGGTGTTGTGCTGTGTTTTGGATTGATTGTGTTTCTGAGGATAGAATACAACACTTTCAGAATGTGAGCACGTGCTCTGGCACTGACCCACACCCCCCCCCACCACCCAACACACCGAAGCGGGTTTCTGTAAGGTTTCATCCACTGGTTCTCAAGAGTGACTCATGCAAAATCTTCCAGAGCACCTCTCAAGCATGTCCGGCCCTCAGGACAAATAAAGCTGATTTTCTTACTCATGAAAAAACATAAAGAGAAGGAATTTACTTTACTTAGTGTTTGTCCTGCGGTCAGGGATAGAGCTCAGTGACCTAGCACCTACGTTTCTTTCCAGGGTATCAAAAAAAAAAAAAAAAAAAAAAAAAAACAAACACCAAACAACAAAAAAGAAAACTGGAAAAAAAAACCCATAGTGTTTGTCCTGTAAGTTTTTTCTCAAATCTCCAATGCAATTGTTAATTATCCTACACTCCACTTGATGGTACATCTTATGTGGCTAGAATCAAAGCTCATCCTCACTTCAGCATGGCGCACAACACCAGGGGTAACAAGCTTGGGAACCTTGCTTCACACAACATGTACAGGGCTCAATGACCTCAGGTCAATCCAGGTATGTGATACTACAGTGTGGAAGGCAGACATGAGTACTTCAGAGCAAAAATCAAAACCTTCCCACTAGGCTGTGTTTCCAAGGCAAAGCCCAGGCAACAGGCCTTTAGAGCTGTCAGTTTAATAGCCTAGCACTATATAAGTGAATCCACAATTAGCCACCATGGTTGCCCCAGAACCTGGTCACACAATGCATTTATAATGTATTCACCATCTCGCTGTGGTCCCAATATGTCTTTTAATGACTCATGAGGTCTAGCTAGTATTATCTGATACTAGAAATAGGAGCCTTGGTACAGGAATGACCTATTCGTAACATATACTGCAGTTTTTTCTAGGATTCATCATAGCAAAACTATCCAAAAACCTAGCTCCTCTCTAAACGTGGTATCATACATTGGAATTTCAGATAGTGAGGGTGTTGAGGCAGTGATTGTAAGGTTGATCCCAGCCTGTTCAACACAGAATGACTAAAAAAATAGATGAATAAAAAGAAAATATGTCTGGGTTTCTAGCTCAATGGCAGAGCAAGCATGTGTTCACACTCAAGAAGCAGAGATGGGCATGAGCAAATGCTTTAGTGCATTTCAGAAAGGAGCCTCCAGATTCTAAGTAAACAGCTGGTATGCTGTTGGTATAACTGCCTAAAAATGCTTTTAAAATAAGTATTTTTATACTTTTTGCACCCAATTCTATCACTAGGTGTACTCTAAGACCTTACACTATAGTAGAGCAACTAGGCTCTGAGCACATCGGGTGTTTGCGGAACTCTGTAAAAGCAGGTAGTGACTAGAATCACCCATGTTCTAAGATATCAGGCAGGAACAGACACTTGTCAAAGTTTTGCTTTTCTCGGGCACTAGAGT